CACACATAATTATCATTTCACAGCTGTTAAGATGGATTCCAGTTATTTTGAAGAAATGAAACACAATGCCTTGCAATAGGGAATGTTCTTCAATAACAACTGATCCTATTTTATATTCCAATTACTTGAGTTTCAGATGAGAGTAATTACTTATCAGAATTTTTCTTTTGGGAGGATATTTATTTCAGCCAAATCTCCATTTGGTTCAAAGTGATTATAGAGTTTCAAGTTTTCAGTGAAATATTAACCAGATCTTCCATTTTCTTTCTCTGCTTCTACTCCATGTGCTGACAGTGCCCACCTCAGCTCTTTGAGGTTATGGTGGCAGAACATTCACAATATCAAGTCCTACCAGTACTACTAATTGATATGTTTCAAGTTCCAGGCCATTGATGTCTCTTGTCCTAGTACCAGCCTCATGACATTTAGAAAGGTTAATCAATGACAAAATGTCTACTGAAAGTGGGTGGTTTGACCATAGAAACTCACAAAAGACCAATGGTATGAAAGGGTTATGGCCAGAATTAGTGGAGGGGAAATTAGTGTATAAGTTTACAGATCGTTTGAAGTTTTTAAGTATAAATTGATTATTGCTACTAGAAATGGTCAGTAGTGATTTGTACTATTCACTAGGTTCTCTTTCTCTTTTCCACATTTGCCATCCTTACACACTTGCTATCTTTTCATCATTTTATCATCAAAAAGCATACATGTTATGCCTATGTCTTTGCATGGAAAATAACTCTTGCATCAGTTCAGTGATAGACATAGGGACTGTGCTGGTGATTTCATTGGTATAAGAAACTCCCATCTGAGGTACCACATCACACCTATCAGATTCGCCAACATGACAAAACAGGAAAATAATAAATGTTGGAGAAGATGTGTGAAAATTGGAAAACTAATACATTGTTGGTGGAGCTGTAAAATGATCCAACCATTTTGGAGAACAACTTGGAACTATGCCCAAAGGGCTATAAAAATGTGCATACCCTTTGATCTAGCAATAGCACTTCTAGGCCTATATCCCAAAGGGATGAAACAAATGGGAAAAGGACCCACATGTGCAAAAATATTCATAGTAGCTCTTTTTGTGGTGGCAAAGAATTGGAAATTGAGAGGATGCCCATCAATTGGGGAATGGCTGAGCAAGTTGTGGTATATGAATATAATGGAATACTATTGTGCTATAAGAAATGATGAACAGGCTGACTTCAGAAAATCCTGGAAAGACTTATATGGTCTGATGCTGAGTGAAGTGAGCAGAACCAAGAGGACTTTGTTCACAATAACAGCCATGTTATACAATAACTAATATTGTTAAACTGAACCCTTCTCAGAATTACAAAGATCTAAGACATCTCCAGAGGCCTTGGGATGGAAAATGCTGTCCACATCCAGAGAAAGAACTATGGATGTCAAATCACTGTCACTTATTTTTACCGTCTGTTGAGTTTTGTTTCATCTTTCTGATGGTTACTCCTATTGGTTTTAATTTTTACTTACAACTTCACTAATGTGAAAATATGTTAAGTGGTTATGTAAATGTAATGCCTACATCAGATTGTGCACCATCTTGGGGAGGGTGGGGGGGGAGGAAGAAGGAGAAAAAAATTCAACTCAAAAGCATATGGAAGTGATTGTTGATAAATCAAAATAAATTAATAAATTTAAAAAAAAAAACTCCCAGTAAGAAATATCTTCTACCCATGCAGGTCAACACCCTCTTTGAAAGTTCTGCCATCCCAATTCTTAGAGCACTATGAAATAAACTGACTTGACCAGGGTTACCTGATCAGTATTTGGCAGAGAAAGACTTGAACACGGCTCTTACTTGCTTAGAAGCCAACTTTCTATGTAGTACACCGTGTCATCTCTAAATGAACAATTCTTAAATGTGTTATGTGTAGAGGACCAAGTGAACGAGTGGAGAAGATAAGCTTTATGGAGCTTAGAGTACAGCAGCCCATCAAACTGTTCTCTCTAGATTTTATGTAGACACATATCTAGCAACCATAAAGAAAATTGAATTTAAAAAGTTCGCAAATAATGTACATCATATGTGAGCATCCTTATGTACATGGTTTAGAGAGAAAGTACAGTGATGGGAAGGATGAGAAGAAGGGGGATGGGAGAGAATTTTGTGTCTAAACAGGGCATGATGAGATTTCTCACAGTTATTCTTCAACTAATGCAATAAGGCTTTATGGTATAGGTAAGAACTCAGAAGCTATTTGAAAAACAACTTTCTATATTTTTCATTTATTCTCATACATCATTTACCTCATTTTCCCTTATCTCCCTTTTAGTCCCTTTCGGTCTGTGCTTCTTTTTCTCTTTATCTTCCTTCACTTTTTTTGTTTCATGACATTTCCTTTTAATTTATAAGATAAACAGTTAGAATAGCCAGACAATCATCATCAAATGTTAGTAAGATACTCTTACCAACAAAGCTCAGCATTTAGAAAGAGAAACATGAAGAGTTCTTCCTAAGAAGACGCCTGAAAAGCAAGCTTTATTGTTTCTAAAAAAGACATTTGGTAAATCCGTAATGATAAAAATTGCTTTAATCTTGAGGATTTTCTCCTTACATTAAGCTTACAGGGAAACTGAATGGAAAAATAGGTGCATAAATATGTTGAAAGCTAGAGAGCTTCAAAATTGAAAAGGGAGAGATCAAAGGCAGGAAGTGAATTTCCTTGAATAAATCACTGTAAGTATTGTCTGGAAAGGTTTATTCCAATAGTAAATTATGGCTTGTCCCATTTCAGCTGTTTTTCAAACATTTACAATAAAAAGCAGTGGGATATTTTTTTAATACTGTGTTTTGTTTCCCATGATGTATATTCTAATGCCAGTTACTTTAAAGCTACTTTACAAACTATTATTCTTACAATATATTCAGTTGCTGATGTTAATTATCAATGAATATGTCCATAGTTTAGGGTCAGTGATTTCATATGTGTTTATAATACTTCTGGTATAGACTGCAATCTTTCTATTTTTTGACAACTAAAATAAACTCCTTTCATCACAACTTTATCATCTTACAGCTATCCTACAGATGGGATGTTTTTTAGGAGATGTGTGATAGGGGATGATCCTTGCCCTCCTGGAATTTACAGTCTAAAAGACATATAGTTTATTACGGGAAAGAGTGATTAGATTTATTCTGCTTCATAAGGAAAGGTGAAGCCAGCAAGAATGGGGAGAAGCTGCAAAGAGGACATTTTAGGCTTAGAAAAATGCCCTAATGATTAGTGCTATTTTAAGTGAACTAGATTGGCTACCTCTGATGTAGAGAGTTCCCTTAATTGGAAATGGAGCAAAGGGTGGTCACTCCTTGGCATGTTGAAGTAAAATTTTATTTTTGAGAATAATTTGGATTGGACAGCCATTAGAGGCCCATACAACTCTAAAATTCATTGGGTTTTCATTTGTTTAGTGCTTTGAGGTTTACAGAGGCCTTTTATACTATTTTGCAGCCCTGATTCTGATATGGACACACAGTGAGAAGATAAAGAAAATAGAATCAGAATTTTAATAAATAGTAAAGAGTGAGCAATTTTGCTTGCATCACAATTACAAGTCATCATTATCCTAAACAATGAAATTTAATGATAGCGTCATTCCATATTCAACCTATTGTTTTGTTTTATTTTGTAATGTGTATTAGTAGAATTGGAATAATATTTAGGGTTTTCTTAAATTTTCTTTCAAGAAAGTAAGTACTTGAACAGTGGCTTATCTATGTTCTATTAAATACAAGCTTATCTTCCCTTTATCTATCTATCTATCTATCCATTTATCTATTTATTCACTCATTTTCTTGTTTATCTATCTATCTATCTATCTATCTATCTATCTATCTATCTATCTATCTATCTATCTATCTATCTATCTATCCATCTATCCATTTATCTATTTATTCACTCATTTTATTGTTTATCTATCTATCTATCTATCTATCTATCTATCTATCTATCTATCTATCTATCTATCCATCTATCCATTTATCTATTTATTCACTCATTTTCTTGTTTATCTATCCATCTATCTATCTATCTATCTATCTATCTATCTATCTATCTATCTATCTATCTATCTATCCATCTATCCATTTATCTATTTATTCACTCATTTTCTTGTTTATCTATCTATCTATCTATCTATCTATCTATCTATCTATCTATCTATCTATCTATCTATCTATCTATCTATCTATCCATCTATCCATTTATCTATTTATTCACTCATTTTCTTGTTTATCTATCTATCTATCTATCTATCCATCCATCTATCTATCTATCTATCTATCTATCTATCTATCTATCTATCTATCTATTTATAAATACCATGTGTGGTGGCACACATCTACAATTCTTGCTGCTGAAGGAGGCAGAAACTAGTGCATATCATGAGGTTGAGAGTTCTGAGCTGCGGTAAGCTAAGCTGATAGTTTGTCTGCAGCATCTGGCATCAATATGGTGAGACCCTTCGATCAGGATCAGCAAGCTTCCTATGGAGGAACAAACCAGAAAAGCTCAGAGAGTGGGTCAAAGATACCATACTGATCAGTAGTGGGAAAGTAGCTAGGAGGTGAAGTGGATGAAATTCTGGGCCTGGAGTCAGGAAGACCTGAGTTCAATTTGCTCTCAGACACTAGCTGTGTGACTCTGGGAAAGTCACTCAACCTTGTTTGCCTCAGTTTTCTCATCGTAAAATGGGCTAGAGAAGGAAATGGGAAACACTCCAGTATCTTTCCAAGAAAAGCCAAAATAACATCACAATGAGTCAGGCGTGACTGAAAGGAATTAAGAACAATAGCCCAATGCACTTCCAATCAAAAATGAAATAATTAAAAATTAGCATTTTTCTAATTTAAATTATATATTATATAATGTATAATTTATGGTATATATTATATATTTTATCAAATATAAATTATAATTTTTAACTCGTAAAGTCATTTTAATCTACCTGTTTCTCATTTCCTTCAGGCCACAGATCCAGATGCCGGGATAAATGGTCAAGTGCACTATAGTCTTGGAAACTTCAACAATCTTTTTTGGATCACTTCAAATGGAACTATTTACACAAGAGTTAAGCTTAATCGAGAAGTAAGAGACTACTATGAGCTCTTTGTGATAGCAACCGATGGAGCCGTACATCCTCGGCATTCGACATTAACCCTAGCAATAAGGGTCTTGGACATTGATGACAATAGCCCTGTTTTCACTAACTCTACCTACACAGCTGTTGTGGAAGAAAATCTCCCAGCAGGAACCATCTTCCTTCAAATAGAGGTATGTGAAAGGAATGACACATTCTTAGGCCCGCATCAGTATGCTCATAGCTAATTTGTCCATAAAGCAATTTTCTTCTTGAAATGTATTACTGGAACATGCCTATGGTAGGATAAAAATCTGAAGACAGGCTATGTCTGTCAATCAAAATGCTTATTATTAATTACCTACTGTGTGCCATGCACTGTGGCATCAAAATACAAAGAATGAAAGAATTCCTAGTAGTAAAAAGATTACTGACATTCTAACAAGCATCTCTACAAATGAATATGCATACATGTCTATATATTAGAATATATTATTTATTCTAATTTATTCCTTTTAGAAACCTGTTCTCAGATTTGTTAAATTGGAATTTGAGGGAAGAGAATATAGATATCATTTTCTCCACCCTTGCCTTTCCCTTTTAGATTCCATAGATCCCCTTAAAGTTCAGCCCAAGTAATACCTCTTACAATATATCTTTCCCAATTGCCTTGTTTTCCTAATTGCTTTGTATTTATTTGGATATACTTGTTTTTACCTAACTGTGAACGTGACCCTTCCTTCATGTCTGGTGATGTAAGGACCTTGAGGGCAGGGCTTATTTCATGTTTGCATTTGATCCCTAATCCCTGGCACAAAGAGGGCATCTAATGATGGTACGTGGAATTTAATTGAACAAATTACTTTCAAAATGGAATTATACATATTGAGAAAGAAAATAAAGCCTGGAGGTTCTGTCTTTAATGTGGTTTCCACTGGAGTAGTTTTTTTTTGATTTGGTTTGGTTTGGTTTGGTTGTTTGTTATTATTCTTCATTAGTTAGTTTAGTTTAGTTTTATTGGTAACAGCACATTTGTTAACATATGTATTTTTTTCTCTCCCCAAAATTATAGTATATCATTCCTCTAGGGTGGGGACTGTTTTGTCACTGTTGTTCTTGATTTGGTGTCCTCGGCATCTAGCACAGTACCTGGCACATATTAAGTTGGTGATTAATGAAACCTTATTAAGTGAATGAATGAATGAATGAATGAATGAATGAATGGCTGAATGATTGTGTAAAAATTTTGAGAAGTCCACAACACCTGTGGCACTAAAACCCTACTTGACTTGATCCTACATGAGTTTCATCACTTAGAACTCCCTCAATCTAAACCATATTTTAATTGTCTCATTACAGGCGACTGATGTGGACCTTGGTGCCAATGTTTCCTACCGCATTCGCAGCCCAGAAGTGAAGCATTTATTTGCCCTGCACCCTTTCACAGGAGAATTGTCCCTGTTGAAGAGTTTGGATTATGAGTCTTTTCCAGAGAATGAAGCCTACATCACTTTTCTTGTGGAGGCTTTTGATATTGGAGGAACCATGCCCCCAGGCATTGCCACTGTCACAGTGATTGTGAAGGTAAGCAAGAAATAGCATATACTCAATTAACCGACTTGGACAGATATACCCAAGAACCAAGGTGTTTGGGCAGGTCAATGCATTTGTAATCATTAGTGTTTCTTTTTTTTCCATGCCATAAACCTCTTCTCTATTAATTTTCCTATACATGATGTTTCCTTGTTTTTCCAGCAACTGTTAGAAGTGTTTATGCTACACTTTCTACTCATTCATGTTTTTCCCCTCTAAATCAAGACATTATAAATACAGAGTAAATCAAAAGTAAAACTATGCAAATTTTAAAAAGAGAAAGTGTAGTAAAGATAGTATTCTCTTAAATCAGGAATATTTGAGTTCATTTACTACCTCTGACAGAGTGACCATATAATCCTGGACAGAACACTTAATCTCTAACCTTCAGCAACTTTCTACGTTTGCAGAACAGTTCCTATGATGCCCATTTGTCGTCGACTGGCTAAGCAAATTGAGCTACATGAATAGAATGGGATGTGACTACTATGTGAAATTAGGACTATGATTGTGTAAAACATAAGATGATTGGAAAGGTAGAAAGGGCCAGGTTGTAAAAGACTTTGTTATCAATACTAAAATATGTAAGAAATATGATTTGTTTTATTCTTTCACTTAGAAAAGTATCAATTTAGATGGATCCATAGTGTTATGTGTTTTCATGGACACAAGATGAATAACAATATTTTGAGTGTTTACTTTTTCATTATATCTACTTACATTATTCAATTAAATTCAAGTTACATTTATTAAGCCACTGCTATGTTCTTGACACTGGGGAATGGGAGAGGAAGATATTAATGGAAATAATATATACATAAACATATATATGTGTGTGTGTGTGTGTGTGTGTATGTGTGTGTATTTTTTTTAACTTATATTTTATGAGGGAAACAATGTACGTGCTTTTAGATTCAAAATAAAGAGGAGAACCTAGGGACAGGGTCACCAAGAACCTGGAAAGGGGAATAAAGGAAAAGGTACCTGTATGAGTTTGTGGTTTACCTCAACCTTTGAAGGAAGGAAAGTATTTAAGAGACAGAAGTGAGAAGACAGTGAATTCCAGGTATGAGGGACAGACGGTGCAAATCTTACAGATGGAGGATGACCAGGTGTGAGACATGGGGAATGGCAAAGAAGCCAAATACTCTGTACTATGGTGGAATGGAGAGTGACTTATGATAAATGTAGCTCAGGCCTGGAGAATTAACGCTCAACAGTGGGATCAAAGGAGAGAATCTCCAATGCTGTAGTGTCAGAACTGCCCAGAGTTAAGGTCCCATATCAGGTATTTTTTTAAATATAAATTTGTTTATTTTTAGTTTTCAACATTTACTTCCACAAGATTTTGAGTTCCAAATTTTCACCCCATCTCGCCCCTCCCCCCACCCCAAGATGGCATGCATTCTGAATATACATGTTGTGAAAAACTAACTCTATTTCCCTTAATCCTATCCTGCCCACCCAATTATTCTATTCTTTCTTTTGACCCTGCCCCTTCTCAGAAGTAATTGCTTCTGATTACCCCCTTTCCCAATCTGCCCTCCTTTCTATCATCCCCCTGCTTTCTTATCCCTTTCCTTCCCTGTTTTCCTGTAGGGTAAGAGAGATTTCCATACGCAATTGAATGTGTATGTTATTCCCTCCTTTAGCCAAATCCTATGAGAACAAGATCCACTCATTCCCTCTCACCTTCCCCTGTTTCTCCTCCACTATAAGAGCCTTTTCTTTTTTTCTTTTGTGATTTAATTTACCCTGTTCTACCTCTCCTTTTCTTCTTCTCCTAGTATAATCTTCTCTCATCCCTTAGTTTTATTCTCCAGATGTGAACACTTAATCTTCAACTCACCCTCTGCCCTCTATCTATCTATCTATCTGTCTATCTATCTATCTATCTATCTATCTATCTATCTATCTATCTATCTGTCTGTCTGTCTGTCTGTCTGTCTGTCTGTCTATCTATCTATCTATCTGTCTATCTATCTATCTATCTATCTACATACATATAATTTTTCACCCTCCAACTACCCTAATACTGACAAAGGTCTCATGAATTATAAATATCATCTTTCCATGCAGGAATGTAAACAGTTCAACATTAATAAGTCTCTTATGACTTCTCTTTCCTGTTTACCTCTTCATGTTCCACTTGAGTCCTGTATTTGAAACTCAAATTTTCTATTCAGCTCTGGTCTTTTCATCAAGAATGCTTGAAAGTGGGGCGGAGCCAAGATGGCGCAGTGAAAGCAATAACTTCCTTGAGCTGTCCCCCAAACCCCTCCAAATACTCATAAAAATGGCTCTAAACAAATGCTGAAGCAGCAGAACCCACAAAAAGACAGAGTGAAATAAATTTCCAGCTCAAGACAATCTGGATGATTGATCAGAAAGGTGTATCACGGTGGGCTGGGAGTGCAGCACAGGCGTGGCATGTGCAAGCAGGCCACAGCAAATCTGGAGCAGGCCTCAGAGGACTGAATTTCAGGCAGCTGTGGTGGTTTCCACACTGCTCAATCCACAAATGCCAAAGACAACTTAGAAGGTCAGTGGGAAAATTCTGTTTTTTCGTTGATGAGAGAGGAAGGCGGGGTTTCAGTTCCATTCACCAAGAGCATGGCCGGGGAAGGGGGGGCAGCTGATTCCCGAGCTTCTGGCCCACATACTGAGTGGTAATCCACTGGATGATCAGAGAGGGACTGCAGGGATCTCTTTGCCAGCGCTGAGGCAGGAATCTCTTCTTTGCCTGTGTTTGGATCTGGGTTACAATTCTGGGCAGCAGTGCTGGGATGAGGAGGAGCACTGGATTGGTGGAGCTTGTAGTGGCTGTAAAGAGGAGCCCCTCCTCACAGTTACAGGACAGAAAGGAGTACTTGTGCTCACAGGCCAGGAAAGGAGTAAACACCTTGCCCCTTATCATACCACCTTGGAAGAACTAAAAATTTACAGGTCCCTACAAGTATCTCTGAAAACAGCTATATGAACCCCTGAAGCTTGGCACAGTACACTCTCCACATTGGAAGCAGACTCTTACCTTAATAAAGAGTTTAAAACTCAAGTAGTTGTCTGGGATCATGAGCAAGTAGGGCAAAAGGAGTCAGACTATATTATCTTACTTTGGTGACAAAAAAAAATCAAACTATACAACCAGAAGAAGACAACAAAGTCAAAGCTCCCACATCCAAAGCCTCCAAGAAAAATATGAATCAGTCCCAGGCCTTGGAAGAGCTCAAAAGGGATTTTGAGAAGCAAGTAAGGGAAGTAGAGGAAAAACTGGGAAGAGAAATGAGAGTGATGCAAGAAAATCATGAAAAACAAGTCAACAGCTTGCTAAAGGAGACCCAAAAAAATACTGAAGAAAATAACACCTTAAAAAATAGCCTAACCCAAATGGTAAAAGAGGTCCAAAAAGCCAGTGAGGAGAAGAATGCCCTAAAAAGAAAAATTGCCAAATGGAAAAAGGTCCAAAAGCTTACTGAAGAAAATACTTCCTTAAAAATTAGATAGAGCAATTGGAAGCTAGTGACTTCATGAGAAATCAAGACACTATAAAACAAATCCAAAAGAATGAAAAATTAGAAAACAATGTGAAATATCTCATTGGAAAAACAACTGACTTGGAAAATCTATTTAGGAGAGAGAATTTAAAAATTATTGGACTATCTGAAAGCCATGATCAAAAAAAGAGCCTACACATCATCTTTCAAGAAATTATCAAGGAAAACTGCCCTGATATAGTAGAACCAGAGGGCAAAATAGAAATTGAAAGAATCCACAGATCTCCTCCTGAAAGAGATCCCCAAAGGAAAACTCCTAGGAATATTACAGCCAAATTCCAGAGTTCCCAGGTCAAGGAGAAAATATTACAAGCTGCCAGAAAGAAACAATTCAAGTACTGTGGAAACACAATCAGGATAACACAAGATTTAGCAGCTTCTACATTAAAGGACTGCAGGGCATGGAATATAATATTCTGGAGGGCAAAGGAGATAGGATTACAACCAAGAATCACCTACCCAGCAAAACTGAGTATAATCCTTCAGGGGAAAAAATGGTCATTCAGTGAAATAGAGACTTTCAAGCATTCCTGATGAAAAGACCAGAGCTGAATAGAAAATTTGACTTTCAAATACAGGACTCAAGTGGAACATGAAGAGGTAAACAGGAAAGAGAAATCATAAGAGACTTATTAAGATTGAACTGTTTACATTCCTGCATGGAAAGATGATATTTATAACTCATGAGACCTTTGTCAGTATTAGGGTAGTTGAAGGAAAAAAATTATATGTATGTATGTATAGATAGATAGATAGATAGATAGATAGATAGATAGATAGATAGACAGATAGATAGAGGGCACAGGGTAAGTTGAAGATTAAGGGATCATATCTGGAGAATAAAATTAAGGGATGAGAGAGGATGATACTTGGAGAAGAAGAAAGGGAGAGGTAGAAGGGGGTTAATTATCTTATTAAAAAAACAGAAAATAAAAGTCTCTTACAATGGAGGGGAAGCAGGGGAAGGTGAGAGGAAATGAGTGAATCTTATTCTCATATGATTTGGATTAAGGAGGGAATAACATACACATTCAATTTGGTATGGAAATCTGTCTTACCCTACAGGAAAATAGGGGGAGAAGGGGACAAGAACAGGGGGATGATGGAGAGGAGGGCAGATTGGCAAAGGGGGTAATCAAAAGGAAATACTTCTGAGGAGGGACTGGGTCAAAAAACAGAATCGTATAAATTGGAGGGCAGGATAGGATTAAGGGAAATAGAGTTAGTTTTTCTTAACATATCTACTATGGAAGTGTTTTGCATAAGTGCACATGTATAACCTATATTAAGTTGCTTGCCTTTTCAATGAGGGTGTGTGGGGAGGGAGGAAGGGAGAAAATTTGTAACCCAAAGTGTTAAAAACACATGTTTAAAAGAAATATTTTTACACGCTACTGGGAAATAAGAAATACAGGAGATGGGTTATAGAAGTCTATC